TCGTAATCCTAACTATAAATTCCATTGTGTTGGGATTTATTTTTAATATATTTAGATGTGCACATCGCCGACGTTCCTCATAGAAACCAACAAGACACACATTCTCCTTCATAAAGTTGGTTTTGGAGTATTTGTTGACCTCATCCAACAATCTTGGAATCTGCAGCCTGTGATTAAGAATATTCTAGCTCCCCCAGTCAACTGTCAGCTTACTACAACTCTAGGGCACCTAAAAAATGTGTGCTCCTGATATCCAATCCCTTCTCCACAGATTTCACAAACCAACTCTATCTTCATTCCTCTTCTTTCAAGTTGCACATTTGTACTCAAATGTTCATTCTAGCACTTCCACATGAAGGTTTTCAGCTTGTGTTTGATGGGTAGCTTCTATGTTTTAGTCCATAGCCTTGGCATCTGCCACCTGATGTGCTTGGATAACCTGAGTTTTCCTTACTGTTTTGTGAGCCGAAACTTATTGGTAAGCTGATATAACAGTAAATTGTCATTGTTTCTCCCAGTGCCAAACTAACATATCCTTTAAACTAATTGGCAAACTCACTATGGCTAAAGCATCCAGAGAGATAAAAGTTAGGTACACTACATCTCTATCCCAATCTCTACCTCCCTCCTTCAACAGTTCACTAACCCATCTAAGTCTAGAACTATTACAAGGAAAACAACAAACTGGTTTAAAAGATGGATTGTCAGACATCCAGTGTGAATCCCATATTTGAATAGAGTGGCCCTTTCCTACTTGGAATCTCACCCCCATTTCAATGCTCTCTATAAACCGTAAATCCCATATTTGAATAGAGTGGCCATTTCCTACTTGGAATCTCACCCCCATTTCAATGCTCTCTATAACCCCTAACCACCTCCTCTACAGCCAAGACTCCCCACTCCTAGGTCTCACCTCACTCAATTTATCCTTGTTGAAGTACCTACCCTTAGTTACCCTACTCATAAGCAGATTAGGTCTAGTTAACGTCCTCCATAATTGCTTCATGATAAAAGGCTTCATTGAAAACTCTCTATAAGATCCCTAAATCTTAGCCATCGTTCCTCTTTTGACTTGGTTAATTTATCCTCGGAGGCCTAGTGTATCCTGTTCCCCTCCTCCCAAATCAAATTTCTCTCACCAAAAGTTAGCTAAGCCTAAGCCTTTCACATCTTAGAACAAATAGACACAAGCACTCTGCAACGTGACATCGCATAAGTTGAGAGTGCACTTATCATTGTTTTTAAAAGAATTTCTTTATCAGCTTCACTCAAAAATGTGTTTTTCTAATTTGAAACTCTTTTTTAGCAGCTCCATATACAAATATGAAAGCCTCTCTCTTTTTGAACTCCCCAACATGCGAGTAATATATGGTAAGTTTAAACTACTCACTGCTGAGAGTACCTAACCCTCGAGCTTACAACTCGAACACTACAAAGATTGAATTGAACCAGCTTTTTTTTAAAAAAAA